TCCCTTTGGCCAGTTTGGCTGTGCCCCCTCCCAGCTTCTTGTGCACCTCCAGCCTTCTCAGTCGGTAGAGCATGGGAAGCTGAAAAGTCCTTGACTAGTGTAAGCATTACCTAGCAACAACTAAAACATCGGTGCCTTATCAATTTTGTTCCCATCCTAAATCCCAAACACAGCACTGTACCAGCTACGAGGAAGGAAATTAACTCTATCCCTGCCGAAACCAGGACACAATGTTTTAAAGGTGGTTCACACTAGAAGTTTCTCTCAGGTAATAACAGATATTCCATAGGTAATTTATTATGAGTGAAACTCTCTGTAAAGTTCAGGAGCATTCAGACTTTTTAAAGGAATTATGAGGTAGGATCCAAATGGCGTGCAGTGGGCATCTGACCCTCCTTTTTCTGTTCTCTTATGGTATTGCATGAACATTGCGAGTGACCGAGAGCACAGCTGGATAAGAAACATACAGTCTGCATTAACAAGAATCCTGGCACTCACAGGTTTAGTTTAAAATAGTAATCTTCTCCAATATTAGGTTACAGTAGCAGTTAAGAGTCTTCTCCATAATCCCTGTCCAGCTTCTCCCCTCGATTTAGTCTCCCCAAGGAGCACGACTTCACCTACAAAGAACAGGTTTCCTACGGGAAAAGCAAACTCTTACTGAAACTTTCTCATACTGTTGACTAAGTTAATCATTGCTCATAGCTCAGAGACTTCACATTTTCTTTGCATGAACTGTTGACATTCTCATATCAAGGCCTTTTCACCAAATGCATATGTCAGCAGATAAACTGAAAGTTTAACATTGGGGAAGGTTTCATTTTACTTAACAAGGGCCACTAATTTGTTAGGACTGCCCATGTTTGATAGTATTAGAGGCGCGTCAGCCCTACCAAAGGCACTGCTGTTCATTATTCATGTTTTCCAATTACTTCAAAATGATTGTACTTCTTTTTGTACACAACTAATATTTTCTTTCCAGAATACATTAATCATTATTAATTTTGTATCTCTATAGACTTCTAATGTGACAGAAGAAAAATTTGTGTTGGATACACTAGCTGGATGCATAGAATATAAACCCTTATTGGATGTAGTAGTCGATGCCTTTTTTGTTAGGGATGGGAGATACTGCCTGATTTCTGAGCGTAATCTCTATATAGGTAAGTTTTCTTTAAAACACTAAATATGTTTACCATAAAATTTAAAAAAAATATTATTTTACTAACATGTTATTATCACATTACATTTGAAGCATTGTCATTGTGCCCAGTGCAGTATGAAATACAGGACCTTTTCCAATGGCCTTACGATGTAAAGCCTAAATCCTGAAATTGTTATTTAGTCTGGACTCTCACAGGTGTTAACTGAAATTTTAACTTAAGAATATTCTGCAGAATATGCCTGCAGATTAAGTAACATGCAGATGGAAAACAACATTGGTGACTGGAAGAAGTATCTTGGAAGTTTAACCGTCACTTTAAAAAATGTTCTTCAGCGATTTCCCTTTATTCTCTTCTATGCAACCTAGCACCTTTGCCATTCAGATATGAAATTGTATAACAAAGCTCTATATGCTGAGGAACACAGCATGTCTCACAGTATGAAGATATGGTTGTTTCTACCCATGCATGGGTTTCTTCGTTACTGACCACCACAATGACATAAACAGACTTCCATCTGTCTCCATGAGTGAGGTCATTTATTTTCCTTTTATTAGTTACTTGGTTAGAATCAGTTACAATACAACTATATCTGATAGTGTGAGCTAGTTAATCAGAGTAGTTACTACTCCCAAAGTTATTTCAGGCATTGAGAAGTACATTAAAAAGTAATTTAAAAAATATTTTTATGCTATGCATTTAATACACATATACTGAGGTTGATTTATTAAGTCCCTAAATAAGTTGGAATCACAAATTGCACTGGCATTGGTTCTGTAAGTCAGATATGTTCTGAAGCTTTGTGGGTACTTTGAAAAGTCCAGTCAATTTAATTCAAAGTGGTTGAAAAATACAAAAAACATATCTAATATAAGTATATCTACATTTTAAGTTTTAAAAGCTATTACATTTTTATGGCAATTCTGGTTGCTTCTGTCACACTCTGGAAAGGTATAGAAATCTAAATCAAATAACAAACAAAAGGGAACCTAAACTATCAAGGATGAAATTAATAGTATATTGAGTTTATTCTAAATGTAATGCTTCATTGTCTCCATTTCTCCAAAGCCATGTTTTTCAGTGTCTGGGGCACATAAATTATACCTTTAAGCTGAGTGTTGCTATAATTGGATTGTCAGGACTGGTCCACTCAAAAGCCTCCATTAATCATAGGCGGAGGGTAGGCCCCGGAAAATTCTCCTTTATCAACAAGTTGGGAGTCTGAGGTCATTGGCTTACATTTTTTTAAGCTGCTTGTGATTCCCTTTGCCAAGCTGCATTGACACTTAAATGATCAGAGCTGCTTATAAAGGCTGTTGCTATGTGTGAGCAGATTTGAATTTAATAAAGCTTGTAGGAGATAAATGTATATTCTACTAAGACTGCTTAAATATGTCGTTATGCTAAAGCACAAGACTGAAGCCTAACGATACACTGAGTTGGCTGCAGCACATTGGTCAGAATTTACTGATTTTATCATTACTGTTTGGTGGCAGCTAAAATACTGCAGTGCAAGTGAAGCCTGATTGATCAAAGTGAATACGGTCAAATGAAAGCTGATACAGGAGCTCGTGAACTTTACAGGTCTGCAAAAATCTCACAGCACTGACAGTGCCTCTTCCTGTATCGAACTGCATACTTGCCAGAGGGGGTGCAAGAATCAGATATGCAGATATTTGTTGTATAAGGCCGCCCTTTTTCTCACCACTGGCCACTCAATCTCGCCCCTATGTCATATCTTCTCTTGAGTTAGAACTTGTGTTTAGCAGCCATCTAGTGAACTGATCAAGAAAGTGCTTCAGGTTAAAATTCACAATCTGTTTTAACTTGGCTGTGTGGGTGACTGCACCTGCCCAAGAGAAGAAACACCAGAAGTAAAAGGAGGGGATGGGAACAAGCAATTAGGGGTTGACAGAGCTGCTTATTTTAGTGGTGATGTTGGCATAACGAAATGACTGTGAAATCGTGGCAAGATCTTACCTTTGGCCTTAGAGGATTCCAAATGCTGCTGTGGTAGATCTCTCAGTTTTGCAAACAGATATTTGCAGGTATCAAAAGGACCTCTGTGAATTACTTCAGAGAGCTACAGTTGTTTTACATTTTTTGTGTAAGTGGCCAGATCCTCAACTGTTAGAATTTCCATAAAATTGTGTAGATTTGCACTAGCTTGGATCTGACTCACGAAAGAGATAACTAATTTATATGAACCATAGCATAAAGTCACAATGCTAATAATGAACACAGGGTTAACATATTATAACTCCGTATTACAATTTGTCATTGTCAAGCATTATATTGCCCAGTTAGATAAACAATATTGAAGGCTATTTAAAATTAAAGTAACAGTCTAAATCCCAGAGTATGCTGAGTATAGGATATAGGCTTATTAGACTTTCCTGCTGCATTTTAAATGTATGTATCTTTTGATAGTTATTTGTTATCTGGCTACTTTTCAACTAGAAGAGCTCGGTCTGCAGCACTTCAGCAGAATTGTGAAATCTCTGGACACTGCAAAAATGCAAAAGGTAATGAAAGTACAAAACATTTAAAAAAAAATAATGATCTCTTAATTGTGTTTGATTAATCAGATTACTTTTCTCAACTTTCAGGATAATTTAAATTGAGAAATTAGTGTTATTTTCTGTTTAAATTCAGAAATTAAATTACTATTTTGTTATCACAAAAATCTTCAATTTCTGTACTTCCGCAGCGACTATCTCATATTCAGTCAAAGATCAAGTTAAGATGTATTTTATATAATCTGAGAAGGCAGAATAATCACAAGATTTGCAGTTCATGTGATTTACAGTTGTCCCTCTAACTTGCATACTCACTTTTGGCTCTGTTCACATTCTTTCTTTGGCTTTAGGCAGGAGAAGTTTTTTCCATACGCAATGAATCTATTGAAACTTGCAGTTCCTGCTAATTAGTGTTCTTTTTTACGTGAACAACCCATTACCACTTTGATTACCAAGCCTATTGTCCTTCCATCATTTTTTCTCCTTTCCAAAAAACAATTGCTCATTTGGAGCTATGTATGTATCAATTACCCCGTTACAACATACGTGCAATTGACCAAACCATTGCTGCCAAACAGAAAGCATGACAACAAAGTTCTGCCTGCCTTTTCCTCTCTGGAGTTGCAAATTTGGGTTTTGCTCCACTACTTGGTGCTAATTTTCATGAAATTTGTAGAAATATAAATTCCGTCTGCTTCTCTTTCAAAATGGTTGAAAGTGCTGATTATCTTAAAAGCTATGCTGTAAAGAGGGGGAGAGGGATAAACTGAGGGGCAATGCTTTCTCGTAAGCCCTCTTTTCTTAGGTAAATAGGCTAAAAATTAAATTACTGGTGACACAGCATATGTAAACTTTGATCATCCAGATGTTTCAAAGCACAGTCCAAACACAGCGTTTGAATAACATGTGGAATTCAAGAGATGATAGGCAAATTTTAGTAATTAATACTCAAAAGGCTGAGGTTTATCCTTATACTGATTACTTTGAATGTTCATGTGGATGCCAGTGTCTCTTTAATGAGTATAGTTGCCTTGTAATAGGTAGGGAGAGAGTAGGTTAGGTTGTCTGCATGACTTTTTAGAAACACTCTATTCACCTCGTTTTGGTGCGCTTACTATGGAATCGTTATTTATTTATTCCATTCGGAGACAAAAATGATATATTTCACTAACTGTTAGAAAGAACAGAGAAGTGGCTGGAAGAATTATCATAATCTGGTAGGCAGACAAATCGCTCTGTCTACAATGCTCTCCCAGCCCCTTCTTTGGTAAACATCTTAGACACAAGCCACTGGATTGGATGCATCTTGAGCTCATTCAGCTAGCAACACAATTTCCCCACTTCATGCCAGTTATCTCTTGTTGATTCCATTCACCTAGCTTTATATGGCTTAAGTATCAGTGCCCTGATGTTCTATTTCAGATAATTTCTCCTTCCTTGTCTAGAATAACTCTCTTCTAATACGGAAGTGCTGCATTATGCAATGGTCTGCACCTGCTGCTTTTTTTCCTGTAGATGTAACTTTGTTTGCTGAAGTATCTTATCAAATCCTCATCACCATGGCGCCTAGGTTTTCGTCTCTTGCATTAGAAGAGGTTCTTTGTCTCCAAAGTGATGCTAGATTATATTAATGCACCTGCAGCAGAGGATTTAGAAGCAGCATTTCGTCCCCCCAGCAACAGAGACAAAAACAGCAGAAGGCAGATCTGCAGCCTTAGCAACAGAAGTTGTCAGAAATTTGGGATTCTCCTTCAGGATGCTGACCTGTAGATTTTGCCTGATGACTATTGCCTCTGAGTTCAGCTGAGATGCAGAAAAATTATTCATATATATTTACTTAGGATAGATTTACTTTAATTAAAAAATAAATTCTTCTGCACATCACAGGCTGAATGGGATTTTCTTAATCATGGAGCTAAACCTTACTCAAACGAGTAGTCTTCATGAAATTAAATGGACTATTCAGTTGAATAAGATCAACTTGTGTGAGTAGACCTTTCTCTTAAAGGACTGCATGATGGAATCCATTCAAATAAAAGTCACAGTGTTTCCCTATGATTGATGCATGTTCAAATATTTTCATTTAGGCAGAATAATAATGCTACCTCACTAACACATGTTCATCTGCTTGAACAGAAAATCATAAGATCTCATTCTGTAATATTAAGAATACATGCAAAAGTTCTTTATGGTTGTATAATTACAGAACCATAGAAAAAAAAACCAATTTTGTAACTTGTGTGATTTTTCTTCTAAGAACTTAGCTATGCATTGCTAGCTCAAGTCATTATTCATACATGTTATTCTTTAATATTTGTTGTAAAATTTAAGGGTTTGCATGCTAGAGAAAATACACTGTTGAAATAAAAATTTGAAGTAAACAGCTTTATAATTTCATAATTGCCTTGTTAAAAAAAGGAAAATAACTAGTGTTTTCTTTCTAGCATTCAAGAACCTGTTTGGTTATGTTTCATGTTCTGATTGCTTCTAACAGCACTGAAGTCCTTTATAAAGAACTTCTGAGATCTGCAAAGGAAAATCACTATATAAGAACTGGGTATTGTAATTACTATTATGATGAGGTAGGAATAGTAGGACAAGATCAGCCTCATGGTGGACATGGGGGCAGAAAATGTCCAAGTTGGGTCAGGCAATGGCAGAAGGACCTGAGACCATGCTAGGACACTTCTCTCTACACCTTTACCTGAGGATCCTCGAAATAGAGTTGCCCATTACAATTTCTTCATAGGAAAGCCTTCTTAAGAGCTTCTTGCCTTCCTCTTCATTTCTCTGTTGCAGTTGAGAGGTACAATCCTACAGGTGGTTGAGCTCGCATAGCTGAAGAACTAAACTACA